ATATATATATATATATGCCAATGAACCAAACTGTCCCAGTATTTCCGAACTGAATGATGCAAAATGAATATAGACGATTTTTTTTTCTAGTATGATAATTAAATTTCTTTTCTTTTTTTTTCTTCTACGCTTGGTAGAACTAAGACATCATTAGTGGTTGCGGCAGTAACAACGGCAATAATTCTCTAAAAAACGTATATAATTGAGTCATACTGTTGTATCTATTTTCTATTATAATCGATTCATCCGTTTGATAGAAAGAAGAGTAATATGACAGAAGAATTTTCTTTCTATTTATTTTCTATACATTCTAGTACACTATGACAGTTTCGATGAAGTATAACAGGAAAATAAGAAACTTCTTTCAACAAGTACTGTCGATTTTCGTCAATTTACTGAATGATGTTGATAAGAGGTAGTAAGCATTTGAACTTTCCCGTTCCTATCTATTGACAACATCAATGTGCTTGCATGCAACCAATGTCATTCTGCATATCGACGCTAGACAAGAAAAAAAAAAGAGAGAAAGACAGAAGAACTGCAAAAAAAATGTTAGATGCGACTCAAACACAGGATAAAAAACGTCTACTTTGTCTTCAAGTTAGAGCTTATGCTGCTACTTATCAACTGTGCTCCAGAGATGTTAATAATGGCAAAAAAACGGAGCGACAAAAACCGACAATTTTGTAAGAAAAAGAGGCATACGTCAGAAGAAGAAAGAAGAGAGACAAATGAGGGATGTTGGTAACGGGAGAGGAATAATATATGCTCATCTAAATTTTGTTTTCATTATTTATCTATTACCGTCTTCAATCATGTTCAATAGCTTTATGATTAACTTCCCACTAAACCTCACTTCCTTACTGTATGTACTATAGACTTGAGTACCCTATCTACTACTTAGAATAAAGTATAGAATCTCTTGAGACCTGCTATATGACTATCAAAAAAGAAAAAGAGATCGCTTGATTGAGTAAAGTTAATAAAAACATGAGAAAAATATACAATTAACAGCCTATCATAACGACAATAACAACTATTATTCATGTAGACAGATATAAACAAATTCGTGTTTTCCGTTACCGGGATTTTTTTCTCTTCATTTCCGCCTATAAATGTAGAAGTGACACATTGTCATAGTCTTCTTTTCTGGCATCTTGATTAATGATACACTTGGGATCTGTCAGATACATTCAACTCAAAAAAAAAGAAGAAAAAGAAGTAAATGTTGTCTATCACAGAAGAGAGAAAAAGAAAAGAGTAACGACTATCATAATAGAAGAATAACATCATCAGTTCATATTGTTTTTTTTTAATATAAAAGAAAAAGGAAGAAGAAAAAAAGTTCATAAATTTACAAGATTTTTTTTTTTTAATATAAATTTTCTTTCTGTGTGAATTTGATTGATAATATTCTAAAATCATTTTAAAAATTTTTAACATCACGTTTTCTTTTCGACTTTTTTTTTCTTATAGTTACAAACGTGACAGACACATGGTATCATAGTTAACGACGAGAAAAACCAACAAATCTTTATTTCTATTTCAAAAATGGTGTCCGGTCATCCAAATAATAATAGCAACACAGATGCCTATGCAAATGTCATGCAAGGCAAAGTATTATTTCATGGTAGTCAATTACCAAAATTAATTTGGAATCAAATTAAAATTCTTATTGTGTCAAATAAAGATGGTAATATACAAAAAAAAAAATAAAGATACATGATTAAAACTAATTATAATATTTATTATTTAGAATTTAATACTGAACGTGATATATTATTGACAGAAACTTTACCAAAATTACAACAATATTTTTTAACACAAGGTATTTATGTTAATTTTATTGATTGTAATTTAAATTGGGATCTTGATGCATTTCGGAATCCATATCATGTTTTACGTTATATGAAAGAGCTTGATGATGCTTATAGAACATCAACTGGTTTATTTTTATTAGTAAGATTTTACTTACGAAGAAAAAAAAACAAATATTACATAAATTTTAATTATTTATTTGTAGACATTTGTTGGAAATAAGTATGGTTCTGTTGTGTTACCTACTGAACTATCAACGACAGATTTTAATAATATAAAAAATGTCGCATCTGATTTAAATAAAGGTATTATCTTTTTTTTTCCTATTTTTAAAGTTGCCTTTTCTTTTGTTTTTGATTAGATGTTAAATTGCTCGAACGATGGTATTTACTCGATGATAAATTATTACCACCGGCTTATAAATTAAAAGATCCAGATGAAGATTTTTCAAATATCTTGTCACGAACAATATCAACGTATGACATAAGTATACGTGAAAATCAAGAATGGAATGATATATATACAAGTTTAGCTGATTTATTCATTAGTGTTCTAAATGAAAAACCTAATTTAAAATCTAAACACGATACATCATCCTTACATGATATTCAATTACTTTCCGGCGTTGAGGCACTATTCAATTTCGCTACTAAACTATCTCCATCCGGTTGTATGTGTATTTTAAGACAATTTGATGGTATGTATATCTTTAGAGTTTATTTCCTGATTAAATTACGTTTTTGCTTTTTCGTACACAAGATATTCTCTTAATTGTTTTAGTTATTAATAGAATAAATAACTAGTAATTTGAATCTGTTATTTTAAAAGGAAAAAAAAGATTTGTTGCTACATCAAAACATAGTTTTTTTTAATCTTATTGAAAACTGTGTAAGTGTATTCATGCATAGATTTTGTGTTTTTTTTGTCTGTTTGATGGGTCTTATTATTATAACACCTTATTCAGTTTGTCTAACAAAATCAAAGCTGACGGTTTTCTTTTTCAATCTTCCGAAATATTAATGAACTTCTAAGAAACAAAAAAATTGTTAAAAAACTTTTTTTTTGTTTTTTATATTAGAGGGAAGTATTATTTAGTTTTAGCAATAATGAAATATATATGATTATTTCAATAAAAGTAATATATTAAAAATTTCATGCAATATTATTAACTCTTTTTCTTTCTAAAAATTTTCAACTAATGTAGTTAAACAACTAATGGAAATGACAAAAGATATCATCTATTTGTTTGCTAAGATTAATTCAATTGTAAAAAATTATCATTGAATGACAAAAGAAAAAAGAAGAAGAAGAAAAAAAACAAAGTCGGTCAAGTAAAATTTAAAGCGCATTATTCTGTAAATAGTCAAGATCGTCTCCATAAGAATTATCTTTGATTAACTCTATATATAGTTAGATAACTTTCAATATGTAATTACAAATATACAATAGCGTCTTATTTCTACGGGTTGTTTCTTAGGTGATTTAGAATAATAAATAATCTTTAATAAAAAACTTTGATGTTTCATAGTAGAAACAAATGTATTGAAGAAATCTCTCTATGCTACCGCATTTTTTCTGCACTATATTGGCTTCGCAGTATTCTCTATCTACTAAAAATGTTTTAAAAAAACATATATATATATATAACTATAAAAGCCGGAAAAAATGGAACATTGAGAATTGAGCTTTTTAATTAAACATCAAGTG